ACCGAATTTTTAATCTGTTTTGTTTAAAGAAATAACAATGTTTTGTTTTGCTTTGCTTTGTCACACAGCATTCATGTCATCGTTAATTGGTTATGGTAGACAGTTTGATTAGTTATTATTTTAACATAGCCCCTTAGTGACCTAGATCCATCATATCTGTCCCTTTGCAGGTCTATGAGTATGACATTTTATAAACAAAATACGAGGATGTCAGATTAGCGTACATCTTAAGGATTTGTACTTGTCTTGTACTTTTCTCTGTGTCGACATACTCTGGTGTAAAACCTGTGAGAAATCTGTTCATTCAGTCTATTTATGGGTATACTTATTCTTAAGGGAGATACAGAGTTAGAGAATTGGAAAGCTTTTTAAAGAAATATTTTTGTCCTTTTTTCTGGTAGTCCGTTTCTAAAATGCACCGTGCGTGGGAGTTTTCGTGATTCGCCAGGGGAAGGTTGCGGGTGGCGGTTGACGTCAGCCCTGAAAATCAATGTTCTTTATAATTGATAGCCCTTTGTTGTGAGCTATTTATAAACATGAAGTCGTCCCGTGCTTTCTAAAAATAACCAAACAGCACTAAAATGAGACGAGTAGAGGATCCGTAGCAGACAACCGTGGCTGTTTTGGCAAAAAAAATAGTCGATATCGATGCAAAGTGGGAAATTAAAAAGGGAATTTTGAATACAACAGTTTTTTACACCGGACACACCATCTGTTCGCTAAATTTAATGGAATCTCAGTAATGCCTGTAGTTCTTTGTTGTTCGGTTATAGCGACTACATATTATCATTAAAATTCATTGGTTTGAGTTAGGCTGGCCAGGTTTTGCTTTAAAAAATAGGGCAAAAGCTTCCATATATAGGAGCAATTCTATCCAATTCCTTACTTCACCTTTGACCGTCAAAATCAAATGCGGTTGGGCTTTTTAAAAAATTGTTTTTTGAAGATCAAGAGTCATTTTATCGATCGAATTGTGGCAACATTATAGCTTTTGCATCTTCCTGGAGGAAAAAAACAACCCAGTCTGGTCCCGAGTCAGGGTGCCTAAATTCGATTGGCAGTGTTCATCGGGTGTTATGATGCGATCAAACCAAGAACGACTAGCACACACGGCCCACTTAATATTTTATTATAACTATTTATAGCACAGACCAGGGATAGTTGGTGGGTCCCTCTGAGTGATGCGTCCCTTTCGTTTGACCTGGGCAGGTTTTTCTCCTATCGAATGCACGTAGCTACTGTTTTAGTATTTAGAGCCATTTTCTGGTAACAGTTTTGATCCTTTAGAGCCAACATTCTAAACGTAATGGTCTCTCTGGTTCTGCGTTCAGGACTAGCTGATTTTAAGTCGGATCTCATTTTTGAAGTATGGGTTCCTAGCTGCGAGGTCTTCTAATAAGTGTCAAATATTAAATATTATTTGCGACTTTTTATTTATTTAAATAATAGGCCTATCTATAGTATATTATTTGGATTATCATGTCCCACAAACTAAGCCTTTTTGACTTCTTCATGGAACTTTATACATTGTGTCTACAT